GGCATAGGGTGAAAGAAACTCTACCCATTGTTTCTCGCCGGCGCCCGGGATCGAACCCGGGACCACAGGATCACAAGTCCAGCGTGCTGTCCGCTCGGCCGACCGGCTCCCTGGTTAAATACAGTTCCCTTGATACAAATTTCATGGAGGTTTGTTCGGAATACTGATCACTGAAGGCAAAGTGTGGCGTACTTCCGGATGAGGTATTGTTCATATCAATCCAGCAGGTGTCTTTACGGGTTATTCATGCCCGTGCCACTTCTTGGGTGGCTTAATCTTCATCAATCAATCAGTAGGTGCCTCTTAACCTCGTACACCAACCTCATCTAGGAGTATGCTCCTCCAGGCATAATCAAGTATCTTTATATGTCAGCCTTAGCAGAGCGCCGGCTTCTGTTATTAGCTAAATAGTTAAGAATACATTTGAGTCCCTATTTCAGCCTTTAATCCATTCTGTCGTGTTTTTTGTATATGAGCAAGTGCTCATAGTTATGAGCTTTAGACTTTACCAAGAGTAAGGACATTCACACTCACTATAAAGCAGCTGCCCCTACTCTTCCATTAAACATTTGAGGAGACTGCTACATCTTCCCATTTTTCCCCCCCCCCCCCCCCCCCACTTTCCTCCCACTCCGTTTCCTATGCACTCCCTCACTTTTGACGGTTACCCCTCACCCACGGCGCAGGTGAGGGGTGAGGGGGGGGAGGTAATGGGCGTGGTGAGGCGACAAAATAAGCCATGCTGCCTTTTTTCCCCGACTGTGTATTTTTAGTGAAGTTTACAGCCTCTCGCGCCTCTGTGCCTCTCTTCTCCCGTTTTCTTTTAGTTCATTTCACTAAGACACTGTTCCATAAGATCATTAACATTGGCATATATACACATGCAGCCAGGAGGTGTTATCTTACAGCAGCTCATTATGAAGCCTTGTCTTGTAAGGCTGTTATTACAGTCTGGTAATAGCTTCATGTTAGACAACATTCACGTTAAGGACAAATAAACTAACAGTGTTCCGTTGGAGAAAGTTTCCATAAGGTCAGTTGGCTTGATTTCTTGACTCCATACTTGAGACTGTATATGGGAGCCCGGTGAGGTCGGAACACTCGCTGAAGTAACTTTCTTGAGTATATTTTCTTGCTGTTGTTGTTGTTTTAGATTCAGCTACTCTGAACCAAAAGTTGCAAGTAGCACGGGCTATGGTGAGCCCGTAGTGGACTTACTTACCCAGCACAGGAGCGGGACTGTAACTCTGTGATATTACGAGTAGGGTGGCGCGCCTTGTGGCTGAACGTCTTGTGTTGTAACAACCGTCTTCTGGTTGTTCATTAAGGTGGGCAACGAAGTTCGCAAGTTGACCGCCATGTTCACTCCCTCAACAACAATTTGGGGGCGTGAGAACGTCGACCTTTTGTATAAAAATAACGCCTCCGACGCCACCCTGGCGGAAGATTACTGAACTAACAAGTCCAAACATGGGGGATACTGGCGTAAGGTGAGTCACGTTCCTTGCTACCTTCTCCAAACATGGGAGGAAGGAGGTGGCGCAGACAGCCAAGACTGCGCTGTCTGCGCAGTCTTAACAAACTAAAGCAGTAAACTAGTATTGTTTGCCACAATTGGAGAGAGAGGGAGATTGTTTAACCTAACAGACGTCCTTCCTAGGCCAACTACCGACCTTCCCGAGGTTTTTATCCACAACAACAACTCCCAGAGGACCTGTTTACTGTCAGGTGAAAAAAGCATTAGAGGAAAGGAAATGATGTTCAAACGCTTCTGTCCTGCACGGGAATCGAACGCGGAACATTTCATTAGTGAGGCGGCTGCGCTGATCACTGACCTACACACAATGGAGTGAATACTGAAGGTGAGAGCCCTAAGTTGGTCTTCATATAAACCTCTGCGGCCTCCGTTGATAAGGATGAGATAAGCCGTGTCGCAGTGGGCTTTTTGTTTCCTCTTGGTGAAATGCGCCTTATCTGAGTCGTGCAGAGAGGTCTTATGCACTCTGCAATCCATCCTCATGTTTGTCTTACATGTATATATATACATACATGCATATATGTCTTACGTATATATACATTCATATGACCGTACTGACAAGTTTATTTTGCGACGAAACAATTGAGTAAATAAATGATCTTGTGTAAAAAAAACACAGTATCTATAGATAGTAATCTACGTACGAGAGACTTTAAACTAGGTGGTAGTTAGGTGATGTTAAGGTTTGGTAATACAGCCGGGTTCGTTCTTGACTTTCAGTCGGGAATCCCGGGTTCGAAGCCCGGGTGGGACAGAAATAGTTAGGTATTTTTCCTATCACCCTATGCCTCTGTTCACCTAGCAGTATATAGGTACCCAGGTGTTAGTCAGCTTGTTATAGGGTTGCATCCTGGACGGGGGTCAGAATAGTTTGATCTTGGGGGGGGGGGGGATCTCGATATAAGCCAAATGTATATAAAAAAAAAAGATACAAAGGCTGCTTGTCCCCCAACAAAGTTAATTACAAAAATAATTGTTCCTTCTTTAATAGTTTCCCAATTTCAGATTTCCCATTATATATATATATATATATATATATATATATATATATATATATATATATATATATATATATATATATATATATATATATATATATATGTGTGTGTGTGTGTGTGTGTGTGTGTGTGTGTATGTGTATGTATGTATTTGTCCCGTATTAAGACAAACGTGACACTTATACTAAAATCTCTTAGTAAATGAGTTAATACTCATATCAATAAATCAATAATACACACATTATAATACACACACAGTAAATGAGTCAATAATACACATAAAATACCATCAATACAAGTAATTTGTTATTTTATTTTGAGAGAGAACGGAAGTCTGACAAATGTATCCCTTCACTGAGAGAAAACCAGATAAAAAAAAACGTGATATAAGCGACCTGATGCGATCAAAGAAAACGCGACTAGCAAAGTATATAAAGAAAACGTGACGATTCAAGGAAAATCGAGTTTGGGAAGCTGAGCTATGAACGCGCAGCTGGAGAGAAAATGGAGCTGAAGAAAACGGAGTGTGGCACTTGGCAAGCTGCTTCCTGACCACGCTTGTTATTCTAGCCAAAATATCCTTGGCTGTTATGCTCCTTCAGGGTCCCTAGGTAACCTAAAGCGATACTACAGAAGGCAGTAAAATCAGGATATTACAAGTGAATTTTGTATTTTGCTTATAACTTTAAATATTTTAATCTACGTTATTTTCTACTGTAGTCCTTTCTTCGAAATGTATTACAGGCCGTAATTATTCACTACTGTATTTTACAGTCTGTGAGTTTTCATTAAATGCAATGAATACTGTATTTCAGAATCGGTTTCTGATTGAGTACTGTTATATTTTCTTCTTATGACAGTCATACATATAACATGTTCGAACATAATAAATGGTTAATGAAATTTGTGTTTAGGTGCACAGCCGCACTAAACCAGTAGAGGGATTAGTTTGGAAGCCGCGTGGAGCCGGCCGGAGTGAGCGAGGAAGTCGACACACACACACTCACGGCAGGCGGGTGTCTCTAAGTTTAGCCGGCCGGCCAGGTCACCCCACGGGGTGTCTCACCGGCCCCACTTCCACTACATGTAATACTGCCGTCAAACCCTTTACCACAACTACTTCACTGTCGTAAACACGTTTACAGCCACTTCTCACGCCAGTTGTTTTATATACATTCCCACAACGACCACCTTCACGGGGATATTACTACCTACACACCCATTTAAACTGTCACCACTACTGCCACCGCCTCAATAATATCAGTCATCAGTATACCAAAACTTTGATCTTTTCTGTCACATCTTTTCTCTACACTACTACGATCATATTAATACTCCACTATCATCGTTACCACGACAACCACCAGCCTTATATTACAACTAACCTCCCACTACTACAACCCTCATACTAGAACCATCCTCACACTACAACCACCCTTACACTATAACTACTCCTCACACTACAACCACCTACATACTACAACCACCCTCACACTAGAACCATCCTCACACTACAACCATCCTCACACTACAACTACCCTCACACTACAACCACCCTCACACTACAACCACCCTCACACTAGAACCATCCTCACACTACAACCACCCTTACACTACAACCACCCTCACCAACACAACCACACCCACACCAACACCACGACACCCACACTAACACCTACCCTCACCAACACGAGCTCTCCCCAACACCAACCCACACCAACAACAACACAACCACAACACGACATCCACAGCAACTCCACTCCAGTAATGACCCATCACAACCCCTCACACACACACAACCCCCTCACATACAACTTTGGCCAAGTAACCACGGTCATTTGCCCCAACTGCCTATTGGGGTTGGCTTATTTTGGGTGACCCACGTGCCTAAATTCTTGTGAGGAAGTCGCGTGTCTCACTTCCTCCTGGCGGAGTTTAAAATATAATCTTTTGTTGTTGAGAACACATTCTCCGCCACTTGGACCGTCGCAAAGTTAAAGTTTGTCAAATAAACTTAGTGAGTTAAATAAGCAGTGTGAGGCTTGACTTGGACTTATATTACTGTCAGAAGGTGAATACGGCACCATGATGCTGATCTGGTGCTGCTCGTTGATGTGGTTCCGAGTGTTGGTTAATGGTCATACTGTAGGGCTTGTGGAGCGGGTGGGCGGCGGGGGCGGCTGTGCTCATGCCCTATACATTGTTCATTGCCCCCCAATGAGTCAGCGCGGCTGGCAGCAGCGTCCTGAGCAGTTTTGGTGTAGACGAGACTGAGCAAGGGGGGCCAGATCGGCTTTGGTGGTGTCTGCCGCCCCTCCTGCCCGCCCCACTTGACGCGTGGCGCTAGTCTCGTTGTGGGCTGGTGGGCGGTGCTGGTTCGGTGCCGCGGCTGCTGTGGTGGTAGCAGCATCTGGGAGGCACAGTGCGGGTGCCAGCCGGCTCTGAACCCCGCGTCTCTCTTCCAGCTCTCTCTCGTATCTTCCCTACCGTCTTCATGGAGACTTACCGAGCTCCCAAGGTCAACCGCTACTGGAAGCGCCCCAAGCCCAAGGTGTATGACTGTAACGTCAGGGATGCGGAGCGCTTCTACCAGGAGAATTACAAACGATACCTATCAGAAAAGGAGGAAGCTGCAGCCAAGGCCGCGAGGTCACGATCTATAGACTCTGACAAGATCGAGTTCTACCCTCACCTGAGAGCTGGCCCCATCAGGCGTGATCCTTCATCCAGATCTTCCTCAACTCGCAGCGATTTTCCTCCCATTCCTCCTTCCCAGCCAGAAGGGTTCAAGTCCCGTCTCGACTCCGACCGCTCGTCTGCCGAGACTAGCTTCACAAGCCGCGTTGAAGGACTTCCATCCTATGACTCTGCCCATGACAGTTCAAGTCTAGAGGAGCGACTAGAGCGTCTTAAAAGACTGCGGGAGGAGCTCGGCCTGCCTGCCGACACTAAGACGGGTTATGCTTCCTCTTCTCTCTCCGCCAGAAGTGGTTCCGCCACTCGAACCACTGGCAGTGGTCTCGGCGACTTTGAGACTTCTTACAAATCAGAGCGAACTTCGCGATCTGCCGCTGGTGGAGGTCCAGAGGAAACGTCATCATATAGTTTCAAGTCCGAAAAGTCCTCCCGGATGAATGGTACCGGTGGTTTGGGCGAAGATTATAAGCTAAAATCAGAACGCAACACTGACGGTTACAGAATCAAGTCCGAACGCGGAACTGACGATTACAAATATAAGTCAGAGAGCAATAACGATTACAAGTTGCCGACAAGGTTGGTGGAATTCGAGCTACCCAAGGTTGAACGGAAACCATTGAATTTATCGCCTAAACTAGAGAGGAAGAAGGATTACTCATTTGCCTCCTCTGCGGAAAAGAAAGCAGACCGGTTTTCTAGCTTATCATCTGCTGGTACATCGACGAGCGTCTCCGGCGGTCGCAGTAGTCGCAGAGTGGCCGCTGACCTGGAGATCGATGACGACGACACCAGTGTGGTTGATATGATGAAGAAGCTCCCTTCGTCTCAAGACATTCTTGAACGCATCAGTAAAATGGACTTGGATGACTGACTGGAGGACATAATTGACGCCAAACTTTGATGATTGTAGCTGATAATAAAGTGTGTGGAATAATGAACATGACGTGAGGGAATTCTGCCATGAAGTAACGTTATAGTGTTTTCCTTATATGGCAATATGTTCTCCCTCCTATAAGGAACACAACCCGTCGTTTCAGGACTCCATAAGGAGGGAAACATTGATGAAGGGTATCAACGATTGCTACAGTAAATGTTTCCCCTGTGGAGAATATCTACCATGAGCACACCAGACCAGCCACACTGATTGTCTGTGATGACCAGCTACTCGGACTGTGCCTGTGAAGACCAACTACTCGGATAGTGCCTGTGAAGACCAGCTACAGCTATTGTGCCTGTGAAGACCAGCTACCGCGATTGTGCCTGTGAAGACCAATTATTGTGATTTTCTTGTGAAGACCTGCTACTGTAGTTGTGACAGTGATAAGGGTGAAACATATGAAGAGTATTGTGAAGATCGCAGGTACAGCCATGATTTACTCAGCTGTCAGTGAGGAATCAGACAGGAACTGAGGCCAGTCTTCACCAAAGTTTGTTGTCAATTATGATAAGCAGGAAATAATCAGAAAAACTGTTAAGTGTGTAACCCTTCCCTGCCTATACTCCGCCCAGCTTCCTTGCTCCACACTCTTTATACCAAACAATACCATTTGTCTATTCCGAAAACGTAATTGTGACTTTTCCAGTTAGTAACAGGAAAATAAATTTGTTACAATGGCTCATCTAATCATTAAGAAACATATTTAGTATTTGCACATTTTTGTATACACGAACTGTACATATTAAGAAAAGCTTGTGGAACCATGGACTCCAATGTTTATGCTGGCGGCGTGACTATGTCCTCTCCCACACTCCCGCCTCCTGTTCCTTTCCTTCGGGTGGTGGAGGTGGCGCTGCTGCTGCTGCTGCTGCTGTTTCAGTACTGCAGCTCCAAGCTGATCGCAGACGTGTGTGTGTATCTCTTGCAGCATCTTGTAACAATGGCTTCTCGCAACGTGTGTTTGGTGGGTATGCACTTCGAGCGCCCAGGGGCCCCCAGGGTGTACTCTCGCAACACAAGCGTCTGGTCCGAGTATGAGCTGGCCAGAAAGGAAAGGTACAGCAGCATCTCCACCACAAAGACGAGCTCCCTCGGCGAAGTCGAAGTGAAGTACATCCCCGAGAAGCCACTGCGAGAGCGCCTGGCGGGACTCTCCTCCCTCCACATCTCCAAAGTCCGACGAATTATCTAAAATGGCAACGTCCGCGCCCCCGTCCCTCCCCGCCCGCCAGTACGTCGGTGACACACGTCCAGTAGGTTCATCTCTCACCCTTTCTATATGTCCTGTTTCATCGTCTCTACCTTCTGCTGCACGCCCACCATCACATGTTTCCCGAGCACCAGTTTGCATGTTAATGAACCTTCACAGAAATTTGCAGAAAAGTACTTCGATATATTTAGTTCACATCACCCCTCTCTTGTATCATGTCATATGCATCAAATGTTATGTGTCCTTGAGAGTGTGTGTGTGTATGTGGGTGTGTGTATGTGGCTGTGCGATTGTGTGTATGTGTGTGTGTGCGCGCGCGTGCGTGAGAGATAAGCCAAGAATGGTCAAGAAAGATATGGGGCTATATAATAAATGAACTAAACTATCCAAAGAGAGATCAAAGAGAGTGGGAGAGCGAGTGAGAGAGTGAGAGAGGGAGGGAGGGAGGGATGGCCCACAGGTGCACCTCGGACCTGGCAGGCGCCATAACTGCCGGCGAGATGGTTCCTTCTATTTTAGTATTTGTCAAACATGGCCCAATATGGCTCCTTAGCGCCCTCCTTACACCTCCCCTCCCTGCCCTCTTCTGCCCGCGCTTAGTACAGTGTCCATGACTGTGTACAGTGTGTCCATGACTGTGTACAGTGAGTCCATGACTGTGTACAGTGTCCATGACTGTGTACAGTGTGTCCATGACTGTGTACAGTGGGTCCATGGCTGTGTACAGTGTGTCCATGACTGTGTACAGTGTGACGATGAATGTGAACAGTGTGACCTTGACTGTACAATGTGTCCATGACTGTGTACAGTGTGTCAATGACTGTGTACAGTGTGACCATGACTGTACAGTGTGTCCATGACTGTGTACAGTGTCCATGACTGTGTACAGTGTGTCCATGACTGTGTACAGTGTGACGATGAATGTGAACAGTGTGACCTTGACTGTACAATGTGTCCATGACTGTGTACAGTGTGTCAATGACTGTGTACAGTGTGACCATGACTGTACAGTGTGTCCATGACTGTGTACAGTGTCCATGACTGTGTACAGTGTCCATGAATGTGTACAGTGTGTCCATGACTGTGTACAGTGTGTCCATAACTGTGTACAGTGTCCATGACTGTGTGCAGTGTGTCCATGACTGTGTACAGTGTGTCCCATGACTGTGTACAGTGTGTCCATGACTGTGTACAGTGTGACGATGACTGTGTACAGTGTGTCCTTGACTGTACAATGTGTCCATGACTGTGTACAGTGTGTCAATGACTGTGTACAGTGTGACCATGACTGTACAGTGTGTCCATGACTGTGTACAGTGTCCATGACTGTGTACAGTGTCCATGACTGTGAACAGTGTGTCCATGACTGTGTACAGTGCATCCATGACTGTGTACAGTGTCCATGGCTGTGTACAGTGTATCCATGACTGTGTACAGTGTGACCATGACTTTGAACTGTGTGTCCATGACTGTGTACAGTGTGTCCATGACTGTGTGCAGTGTGTCCATGACTGTGTGCAGTGTCCGTGACTGTGTGCAGTGTGTCCATGACTGTGTACAGTGTGTCCATGACTGTGTGCAGTGTGTCCATGACTGTGTGCAGTGTGTCCATGACTGTGTACAGTGTGTCCATGACTGTGTGCAGTGTGTCCATGATTGTGTACAGTGTGTCCATGACTGTGTACAGTGTGTCCATGACTGTGTGCAGTGTGTCCATGACTGTGTGCAGTGTGTCCATGACTGTGTACAGTGTGTCCATGACTGTGTGCAGTGTGTCCGTGACTGTGTGCAGTGTGTCCATGACTGTGTACAGTGTGTCCATGACTGTGTGCAGTGTGTCCATGACTGTGTGCAGTGTGTCCATGACTGTGTACAGTGTGTCCATGACTGTGTGCAGTGTGTCCATGATTGTGTACAGTGTGTCCATGACTGTGTACAGTGTGTCCATGACTGTGTACAGTGTGTCCATGACTGTGTGCAGTGTGTCTTTTACTGTGTGCAGTGTGTCCATGACTGTGTACTGTGACTGTGTATAATATGTCCATGACTGTGTACAGTGTGTCCATGACTGTGTACAGTGTATCCATGACTGTGTGCAGTGTGTCCATGACTGAGTACTGTGACTGTGCATAATATGTCCATGACTGTGTACAGTGTGTCCATGACTGTGTACAGTGTGTCCATGACTGTGTACAGTGTGTCCATGGCTGTGTACAGTGTGTCCACGACTGTGTACAGTGTGTCTATGACTGTGTACTGTGTGTCGATGACTGTGTACAGTGTGTCCACGACTGTGTATAGTGTGTCTATGACTGTGTACTGTGTGTCGATGACTGTGTACAGTGTGTCCACGACTGTGTACAGTGTGTCCATGACTGTGTGCATTGTGTCCATGACTGTGTACTGTGACTGTGTATAATGTCTATGCCTGTGTATAGTGTGTCCATAACTGTGTACAGTATGTCCATGACTGTGTACAGTGTGTCCATGACTGTGTACAGAATGTCCATGACAGTGTACAGTGTGTTCATGACTGTGTACAGTGTGTCCATGAGTGTGTACAGTGTGTCCATGACTGTACACAGTGTGACCATGACTGTGTACAGTGTACGTGACTGTGTACATTGTACTTGACTGTGTACATGGCTGTGTACAGTGTACATGACTGTGTACAGTGCACATGACTGAATAAAGTGCGTCCATGACTGTGCACGGTAACTGTGTATAATATGTCCATGACTGTGCACAGTATGACCATGACTGCGTACAGTGTACGTGTCTGTGTAGATTGTACTTAACGTTGTACAGTGTACATGACTATTTACAGTGTACATGACTGAATAAAGTACGTCCATGACTGTGTAAAGTGTACATGACTGAACAGTGTCCATGACTGTGTACGGTGACTGTATATATGTCCATGACTGTGTGCAGTGTGTCCATGACTGTGTACAGTGTCCATGACTGTGTACAGTGTATCCATGACTGCGTACAGTGTGTCCATGACTGTGTACTGTGTGCCCATGACTGTACAGTGTGTTCATGACTGTGTACAGTGTGTCCATGACTGTGTACAGTGTGTCCATGACTGTATGCAGTGTATCCATGACTGTGAACAGTGTGCCCATGACTGTGTACAGTGTGTGACCATGACTGTGTACTGTGTGTCCAAGACTGTGTACAGTGTGTCCATGACTGTGTGATGTGTGTCCATGACTGTGTACAGTGTGTCCATGACTGTGTACAGTGTGTCCTTGACTGTGTACAGTGTGTCCATGACAGTGTACAGTGTGTCTATGACTGTGTACAGTGTGTCCATGACAGTGTACAGTGTGTCTATGACTGTGAACAGTGTGTCCATGACTGTGTACAGTGTGTCCTTGACTGTGTACAGTGTGTCCATGACTGTGTACAGTGTGTCCATGGCTGTGTACAGTGTGACCATGACTGTGTACAGTGTGTCAATGACTGTGTACAGTGTGTCCATGACTGTGTACAGTGTCTTTGACTGTGTACAGTGTGTCCTTGACTGTGTACAGTGTATCCATGACTGTGTACCGTGTGTCCATGACAGTGTACCGTGTGTCCATGACTGTACAGTGTGTCCATGATAGTGTACAGTGTGTCTATGACTGTGAACAGTGTGTCCATGACTGTGTACAGTGTGTCCATGACAGTGTACAGTGTGTCCATGACTGTGTACAGGGTGTCCATGACTGTGTACAGTGTGTCCATGACTGTGTACAGTATCCTTGATTGTGCACAGTTTGTCCATGACTGTGTACAGTGTCCTTGACTGTGTACAGTGTGTCCATGACTGTGTACAGTGTTTCCATGACTGTGTATAGTGTGTCCATGACTGTGTACAGTGTGCCCATGACTGTGTACAGTGTCCTTGACTGTGTACAGTGTGTCCATGACTGTGTACAGTGTCCATGGCTGTGTACAGTGTGTCCATGACTGTGTACAGTGTCCTCGACTGTGTACAGTGTGTCTATGGCTGTGTACAGAGTGTCCATGACTGTGTACAGTGTGACCATGACTGTGTACAGTGTGTCCATGACTGTGTACCGTGACTGTGTATAATATGTCCATGACAGTGTACAGTGTATCCATGACTGTGTACAGTGTGTCCATGACTGTGTAAAGTGTGTCCATGACTGTGTACAGTGTGTCCATGATTGTGTACAGTGTGTCAATGACAATGTACAGTGTGTCCATGACTGTGTACAGTGTGTCCATGACTGTGTACAGTGTGTCCATGACTATGTACAGTGTGTCCATGACTGTGTACAGTGTGTCCATGACTGTGTACAGTGTGTCAATGACAGTGTACAGTGTGTCCATGACTGTGTACAATGTGTCCATGACTGTGTACAGTGTGTCCATGACTGTGTACAATGTGTCCATGACTGTGTACAGTGTGTCCATGACTGTACACAGTGTGACCATGACTGTGTACTGTGTACGTGACTGTGTACATTGTACTTGACTGTGTACATGACTGTATACAGTGTACATGACTGTGTACAGTGTACATGACTGAATAAAGTGCGTCCATGACTGTGTACAGTGCGTCCATGTCTGTGCACGGTGACTGTGTATAATATGTCCATGACTTTGCACAGTGTGACCATCACTGTGTACAGTGTACGTGGCTGTGTACATTGTACTTGACTGTGTACAGTGTACATGACTATGTACAATGTACATGACTGAATAAAGTGCGTCCATGACTGTGTACAGTGTCCATGACTGAACAGTGTCCATGACTGTGTACGGTGACTGTGTATAATATGTCCATGACTGTGTACAGTGACTGTGTATAATATGTCCATGACTGTGTACAGTGTGTCCATGACTGTGTGCAGTGTGTCCATGACTGTGTACAGTGTGTCCCTGACTGTGTACAATGTGTCCATGACTGTGTACAGTGTGTCCATGACAGTGTACAGTGTATCCATGACTGTGTACGGTGAATGTGTATAATATGTCCATGATTGTGTACAGTGTATCCATGA